GAAACAATCCTTAATAGAAATGGGACTCTAGCTTTAAAAAACGGTTAAATGGTACTTAATTGCTTCAATAAGTCAGTTTCCAGTTGTGCAGTCCCAGATCAAGGAGTGGAGTGTGTTTCTAGAGGTGGTTTCAAAGAGATGAATTTAATTTCTCTCCACCCCCAGGAAGAGAATAGATGTCAGTGAAAGCCTTCCTAGTCAGTTCTATAGAAAGAGATTCAAGTGAATGTGTCATTTTTCTGCCCCCCACCAGTCCTCCTCTAGTTGCTGTGACTTTCTTGACAGACCACTGTGAGATAGAACCTGGGGGGAAGGATTCAGAGGTGGTTTAGATGGGAGAAGTGGGGACCCCATGGAACCTACAGACCTTCTCAGACCCTGACTCTGGGATTTGAGTCAAAAGGGGTAACATATTTAGAATATAGTCTCTTTAGGATCATTGCATCCTTTTCTTGGCTCTTGTCTCTAGCATAGAAGATTGTTTTCCTTTTATCAAGAGGAACCAGTATTATATTTTTTGGTAAGTTTTCATGTGATTACATGTACAAAAAAGAAGTAAGCTCATTTTTACATTGTGGCAAAATGGTTTCAAATTGTTCAGTTTTTTAAAAAAAAGTTTTATTTTTATTTTTTATTTATGTGTATGTATGTGTATGTGGATATGAATATTTGCATGCATGTGGAGGTGCTCATGGAGACTTAGATCCCCTGGAGCTGGAGTGGTTGTGAGCTGCCCAACATGGGCCTGGGAATTGAACTTGTGTACTCTGCAAAAGTAACACATATTCTTAACTGCTACATCATCTGTCCAGCCTACTTGTTTAGTGTTTAAACTCTATAACCAGGATACTAATGGTATTCAATGAAAAATTCAATTCTCAAGAAAATTTCTTGGGACATTTCTTTATTTATCTATTACAAAGGCTTATTGGGTGACCCTGGAATTAGGATATAGGGAAGTGTATAATTTTATTGGCAATATTATCAATTCAGTTAATTTTATATTCTGATAGTTGCCAATCAACAAATTTTAATCTGAGTTCTTAAGTGTTATAATTCAGACCTCAAGTGTCCACAAGAAGTCCATGTGTGAGTCTTGCAGATCTCCAAGGCAGTGCTGGAAGGTGATGAAACCATTAGGAGGTGGGGCCTAGTTGGGGGGTCTTCAGATCATTGAAGATGTGTTCTAGATTCCAACCCTTTCCTCTTCCTCTGTTTTCAATTCTTGGTGAGGAGTTTTGCTCTGCCTCAGGCACCCACCATGATGTGCTACCTTACCATGGGCCTAAAATCAGTGAGGTCGGTTAACAAATCATGAACTGATACTGCCCAAACTATGAGCCAAAAACAAAACCTTTTCTCTTTATGAGTTGATTATATCAGGCATTTGTCGTAGTGACTTAAAGTTGTATGTGGCGGCTCATGCCTGTAATCCTGGCACATGGGAGGCAGAGACAGAAAGGTCAGGAATTCAAAGCCATTCTTACCTCTTGAACAGTTCAAAGCCAGTTTGTACCACGTGAAAGCCTGTCTCAAAAAACCCAGCTGCTCTACTTAGAACTCTCGAAACCCCCAAGTCAAGACATCCATTCCTGTGACATACCGGTCAAGATATAATTGTTATTTAAAAAAATATTTCATTTCTTATTTTTACTTTATATGTATAAGTGTTTTGCCTGAATGTATATAAATGCACCATGTGCATGCAATGCCCACAGAGGTTAGAAGTGGGTGTTGGATCTCCTGGAACTGGAGTCACAGATGGTTGTTAGCCATCATATTGGTTCTGGGAATTGAATCTGGGTCCTCTGGAAGAACTGCAAGGCTTCTTAACCAGTGAGCCATCTCTCCAGCCCCAAGACAATTATTTTTAAGGGTACCCTCTTCTGCCCTTGCTGAGGGATTTCCTGCTTCCATACAGCACTGAGGCTAAGAAGGTCCTCAAAAGTATGGCTTAGATTTAGATGTTTCTTAAGAGCCTAGACAAATAAGAACAGAACTCAGCTTTCATGAACATGACAGGAGAAGGAACTGTGCAGTGTGGGAGGAACCAGGTGGTTTCATATACACATGGATGGAAACTAGGAGACTACTAGCATAGAGAGAAACTCACTCTGAGTCCAGTACAAGGACAAAAGCGTGACAGGGAAGAGCTAGCGTGAGGTGTGGGGCAAAGTATGTATTTTTTTCACCCATATGCTTTCATCTTTCACACACTTAGTGAGTGCTTTCTATCTTAGGATTCTAGGGGCCATCAGGCTTTCAAATCAGGCATAAACTACTACAGGCGTTTGGAATAATATGAGAAAATACCTATAAGAGGTTAAGATCTGAGTTAAACAGAAAAAGATATGGGGTGGTCAATTGGGTCAAAATTATGGAGACATGTGAGTACCTGCCTTTAGTACAAGAGTGTAGCTTGATTCTGTAAGCTGTGGTGGGGCGGGACATCAACTTAAATTTAAATAAGGGAGTGACATGCATGGAGTTTTGTCTGGGTGTGTTTACAGAGGAAGGCAAAGCCATGGAGTGAATGAGGGAGTTAAGAAGGGCCATTGCAGTTGTCCAAGTAAAAGGTCATTCTAACTGGAACTGGGATGGGTGAGACTGCTGCTGGAAAGCAGATGGGATGAGAAGAGAGAAGCATGGGAAACACACCTCAGCCTGGAGGAGATGAGTCAGATGAGAGTTTGGTGGAAGGAAAAAGGAAAGAAGCCAAAAGTGAGGCTATTTTCTGATACAAAAACTTGTTAGTTAATAATACCTCTGTGTAAAGAAGGGATACAAGGATTGAGAAATGGCTATTTGAATTGGATCTATGGAGACACTTGGTGACTTTCAAGAGGCAGGTGAGGAAATGGCTGGAAAGTGAGAATTGGAAACAGTAAATGTATTCTGCTCTTCCAAGAATTTGATCATCAGGGGCTGGAAAGATGGCTCAGTGGTTAAGAGCACTGGGTGCTCTTGCGGAGGACCTGGGTTTGGTTCCCAGCCCCCACATGGCAGCTAACAACTGTCTGTGACTCTAGTTCCAGTGGATCCAATGCCCTCTTCTGACCTCCATAAGCACTGCATGCATGTATGTGGTGTACGTATATATGCAGGTAAAACACTCATACACATTAAAGAAATTAGATCATGCAATGCAGAAGAGTGGCTTGAGAGACTATCACATATATTCATGAGAACTTATTGGTTGTAATTGATGGAAAATATACCCATAGTCTACAAAAAGGAAAACTCTGTGGGAGTGGTTTAGACTTCAGGCATGGATAAATTCAGGGTTTAATGGCACTAGTACACTTGGCTCAGTTCTGCTTTCATCTTTGTGGTGGCTTCATTATCAGTTTCCACGTGGTGATAAGCTGGTTACAGCCACTCCTACCCTAAATTCAAATTCAATAATATCAAAAGAGAAGATTGACTTAAGCAAAGTTCTGGTATTAACTCTGGTTTGGTTGGAATTGACTTGATCAAATAAAGGGTCCATTCCAGACAAGAATGGAATTCATCGATTGGATGAAACCTAGAGATGGAGACCTGAGGAAGCACATTGCCAAAGAGGGGAATGGGCATGGTCCCTTGGAGGAAATCCGAGGGCTGTGACAGACAATGGAGCACTGATGCTGGGTGGAAAAATGTGTGTCCAAAAACCAAGTTGGAAGAAGGCAGCCAATGGGTAGAGATGTGAACAGAAGGGAAGGGATGCGATCAAGGCACATAGCTGGAGTTGATTTTTCAAGAAGAAAAGTGTTCCCATTTCTGAGATGAGGGTGAAGAAGATAGATGATAACTTAACATGTAGGCAGGGCAAATGGAAAGAACACTTTACACAGTTTAATTTCAACTAAAAGCCCATGGGAATATGTAGTATTAAGAAAATATTTTAAATCTATTACACCAGTTATGATAATAAATACATACCAACAAACAGAAACCAAAAATAGAATTCTACAGCTCGTGTATCAAATGTTTCATCTTTCCCAATTTAGGCATAATCTTTACAAAATTTAAGCATAATTTTTAAACTTTATGTATATTCTTCATAACATTTTAATTGTGTACTATTTCATAGATTATATGTACTGTAATTCACTCAGTCATCCTACTGGAAAAGACATTTAGATTGCTTCCATTTTCAAAGTTAGAAATAATGCTGTGATTATTTATATTGAGTTGCTTACTTTTCCTTGGGATGTTTATATAGTATGTGTTCCCAGGGATGTGATAATTGTGTGAAAGCCAATGAACATTTTGTACCTCCTAAGTTTGTTGTAAAATGACATCTCATGAAGTATGTATGAATATGCCTTCAAGTTATATATGAAAATACTACTTTCATCATTTGCTGAATGTTTTAGATGTTTTCCCCATTAATATGTTCAAGACAACAACTAATAAGATATGTTAAACCATTAATACCAGAATGAGTCTGACTTGGTGGTGCTGATATATTTAATGTTCATGACAGCGCTGTGAGGGAAAATTTTTCATGATCTGTTTTTAAAAACAGGGAAACTAAAAAAAAGGGAAACTAAGAAATAAAGAGACTAGGTATACTCCTGAAGCTCCCATAACCAAGAAATGGGAGAACTGGTATTTGAACCATGGGAATTGAACCCAGAATGTGCATACAGACATGAGGCCATATTGCCTTGTGACAGCTTTTAATGAACAGTTCCCCATGTGCTGTTAATGACTATATACATTTGTGTGAGAATTTTATCATACCACTCTCTGGAATATTCTTGATAATTCTGCTCCAGAGAGAGGCAACAGAGGGATAATTGTTATGGCGTTGGATGCCTCAGATGAGGAGAGAATTACTAAGTCATGCAATTCTTTACCTCTCATCAATGGACAATGTTTGAAACTAAGAATTATATTGATAAATATTGAAAAATAAACCAAGTAGTTTCATCTACCCAAGAAACACTAGAGTTTTTATTTTGTCTCTTGTATAGTTTAATATACCCCTACTGGTTTCCATGGAAACATACCTTCTGGGTTTGCTTGAACATCTGAAATGTGGGTACCACTTTGATGTGACAAAGTTCAGTCAACTCCTGGAAAATAAAGGTGTGGTTCCAGCTCCAGTGTCTTTTCTCTGGACCAAGCATGCTACTTGGTGACATCTCAAAAGGTGAATATTAAAGCCTTGGAACATTTGACTTTACAGACTTTCCTGCCAAGAACTTCTAACACACCCTCTAAACCTCAGGAATTCCCTGTGAAAACTGACCATTCCAGCATTCCTAGGCTTTTTTATTCCAGAATCCCAGGACAGGGATGAGAGATGGAGGTCCAGCAGAATGGATGCCGAGTGACTAAACAAGCTGTACTTAAGGACCTTTGAAAGAGTGCGGAGGAGAAGAGACCCAGGAAGCTAACATGGATTCTACTGCAAAAAAGAGGAAGGAGAAGGCATGTTGTGGTGGTTTGAATGAGAATGTCTCCCATAGGCTCCAAGTATTTGAACACTTGGTCAGTTGGTGACACTGTTTGGGTAAGGACATGGAACCTGTCGGGAGGTGTGGCCTTGATAGAGGAAGTTTGCCACTGGGGTGGGCTTTGAGAGCTCAGCCTTGGCCCACTTCCAGGATCTTCCTCTCTCTCTACTTCTTGCGGGTGTTTGAAGATATGAGTGCTAATCTGTCAGCTCCAGCTGTCTCCTGCCATGCCTCCTCCACCAGGATTGACTCTTAGCACTCTGGAACTGTAAGTAAAATAAACTCTTCTATAAGTTGACTTGGTCATGGTGCTTTATCACAGCAACAGAAAAGTAACTAATGCAGATCTCTGCATATGTCACACTCAAGACAGGCATGGTACATTTAAGGTTTGTACATTTTTTCCTTTCAAGCCTTATTAGCTTTCCTTATCCCCCAGTACTCAACTCTACTTGTGGAGCTCAAAGACAAATAGGCCATGGTCAGTCGTTGTGGTGCACGCCTTTAGTCCCAGCACTTGGGATGCAGATGGATCTCTGTGAGTTCAAGGTCAGCCTGACCTATATAGTAAATTCTAAGCTATGAGGCCATTTCTCACAACAAAACAAAATGCAAACACAGACACAGACACACAGACACACACAGACACACAGACACACAGACACACACACACACACACACACATGCACACACACATGCACACGCACACGGACCCCAAGCCCCCAAACAAAAAGCACAAAACAAATGAACAAATAAACAAAAGAAAATAGGTCAGGAATTTTAATCCATTCCAAACTGCTTTCAAGTGGCAATTTTTTCTCTTTGTTTAGGAGCTGAATAAAGTTATCTGCCCACAGGATCAACAGAATTGGACATCACTCATTAATATGCCTGCCATTTCATTGACAGTAAATCTCCTTTTCTACTCACAACACACACAAATGTAAAGGCATGCATACACATACTAAATTATAATCTCCATTACCACAGTAATAGCAGCTAATATATAAATTATTAGAAAAGTGTATATTTTACTCCACCTTAAGAGACAAAATGCTATATTTAAGAAACCAGACAGTAACTTGTATTGGCAAAAATGTGGAGAAACAGAACTCTCCTATTGTGGTGGTAAAAATGTGAAATGCTGAAATTTTCTAGGAAGAGTTTTCCAGTTCCTCTATACACTATCAGAGTGTCATATCAGAAACTACACATGTCAATATAGTCCCAAGAGAAATCAAAGCTTATATTCACACAGAGACCTTATGCACTAATATTTATAACGATATTATTCACAATAGCCAAAGCCCACAAACAACCCAAATGCTCACCAATGCATGAAGGGATAAATTAAAGGTGGTATAGCCATACAGTAGAATATTGTTTGGTAATGAAAAGAAATTAAGTATTAATATACTCTAGAACATGGATGAAGATCGAAAATGTGTTGCATGAAATAAGCCAGTCACTAAAGACTATGTATATTATAGTACATTGATATGAATTATTTAGAATAAGCAAACCTATAGACAGAAGTAGATTTATGGCTACCTAAGGTTGGGATGGACAATGGAGGGACCGGCTGTACTGATGAAGTGCCCACTCTTTCTATTTGGAGTGCTGAAAGTGTTCTAAAATTGACTGTAGGGCATAGAGAGATGGGTCAGTGGTTAAGAGCACTGGCTACTCTTGCAGAGGACCTGAGTTTGATTCCCAGCACTCACATGATGGCAAACCACCATCAGTAACTCCAGTCCTAGGGGAATCCAATGCCCTCTTCTGGCCTCCTAGGGCATTGCATGACATGGGTGCACTTACACACATATAGGCAATATATTCATACAGATAAAATAAAAATAATAAATAAATATATTGACTCTAGTGATGGCTGCACAGCTCTGTGAGTACGGAAAATGACAGGCAATATATTCTAAGTTCACAGTATGTGATTCAGGGGAGGGGCAACTGAGTATAGCACAGAACAAAACAGGAAGGAAAAGGAAGGATGGATTTTCTAGTACATTCTGGGCACTGAGCCACATATGTATTTTAATCTTTTTACTAGTGCCTTGTCTTACAGATGGAGATATTCAAGTTTACAGGGGTCAAATGATAATAGGCAATAAATCATTAAAGAGCTGAATAGAAGGTAACTAATTTTGATTTTCTGTCCATTCTAAAGCTCAGATTCAATCAAATCCACGGGTGGGCCGCCTGCCACCAGTGCTGCTATAATCTAAATTCTGACCCCCCCACGTTAGTGGTTTGCTCTCAGCATGAAGTCATTGGGAGGTGGTAGAACCTTTACTAGGTGAGGCCCAGTGGGAGGCCTTTGTGCCCTTCAGGTCAGGTCCTTAAAGGGGGTGTGGGACCTTGATCCTGCCCTCCTCTCCTTTCCTCCTGCTTCTGAAGGGAGCAGCTTTGACCTGCCATGAGCAACCCCTGAGATACCCTGCCTCCTCACAGATCCAAAAGGAACTGGGACAGTTGCTCAAGGACTTGAATCTCCAAAATGGCAAGACAAAATAAACCTTTCTCTTTATAAGATAATTTTATTTTGTTATGATGACAGAAAGCTAATATAGTTACATTTCCTTATTATAAATGAATACATGCTAAGAAGAATAACTTTGTAGAGACTTTATGTATAGTAATAAGACATATTTGGCTTGAGAATATGAGACTGATTATTTTGGGGGCAGTGAGAGGAGAAGGATGGATCTAGGGACATGAAGCATTTCCTGAAATTCTTTATGTTATTTAAGCAATCCACCTGTGAATGAAAGTTCCCAGAAAAACTGCATCTTGAAACTGAACATTCTACAAAGACTGATAAACTGATTAGAATTTCAGTGACTGTGAAGAGTACGGAATGTTGCAGTTTCAGAATCTAATTACCATTTATCTAGGACTATCTTTAATCCCCTAAATAGCCACTCTTTACCCACCTGTTTCTGGCTTAATATTCTGTGACTAACAGATAAAAAAAACCCTTTATGGAGGGGCTGGAGAGATGGTCAGCATTTAAGAGCACTGGCTGCTCTTGCAGAGGACCTAGGTTCAGCTCCCAGAACCCACATGGAGGCCAGTAATCATCCATAACTCCAGTTCTGGAGCCCAATGCCTTCTTCTGACCTCTGTGGGCATTGCATGACATGGGTGCACTTACATACATGCAGGCAATACACTCATGTGCATAAAATAAAAATGATAAATAAAATATTAAAAAATAAAACTTTTGGAATATATTAACTTAACAAAGCTCTAGCTCCCACCCACAAAATGCTGAGTGTCATCAAAGAGCATCTGAGGCCTGCAGCTGGGATTTCTCTCTTGCTGTAACTGCCTACTTAATGTTTTCACCAATGTATTTGAAAAGTGCCTTGATTTATGACTTTCCTTTGTTCTGTTACTATAAAGGGGCTGGAGAGATGGCTCAGTGGTTAAGAGCACTGACTGCTCTTGCAGAGGACCCGGGTTTGATTCCTAGCACCCACATGGCAGCTATGAACCATCCTTAACTCCAGTTCCAGGGAAATCCAAAGCCCTCTTCTGACCTCCAGGGCATTGCACCACATGGGTGCACTCACATACATGCAGGCAATACACTCATACACATAAATAAAATTAAAAAAAGGACTTCATGAAACTGCTTCCACATTGGAACATGGAATTTGGGGTAATTTGAATTTGTGTTCTTGGGCCATGGTCACTCATATTTGACTCCAGAATAAACTGTCTCTTATCTCCTTTGAGGTGAGAGTTGTACTTTTGCTTCAACACCCCAGAAAACAAGCACAAGAAACTATAGTAGAAATGTATCAAAATATCTAAAATGCATTGAGCTAAGTTCTGGAAAACGATTAATGATTTATCACAAGATGAAAATCATTTTTCACTGTGAGTTTAGCTCTGCCAGATTGGCAATGTCTGCCTAGAGCAACAGGCTGAAAAGGATCCTAAGAGTTCAGAGCAGGTGATGAAGAATGCTACGATTGATTGTTGCTGTCTTGTTACAGTAGGAAAGGTACTGAGTTGCTAAGCTTTAAATAAATTATACGAAATAGCTTGTTAAGATTATCAGGAAAACAAAGATGTGGAATTCTATTTGTTTTCATATGGATGATGTCAACACAGGCACAGGGCTACTCAGTCACATTTGGGTATTAATAGTCCACACAGAGCATTTAAGATTCTTACCTTAGAGGAGTCCACGTCCACATTAGCAAACATGACATTTTGATATTGTGAAGACATTGCCTTCAAAACAAAAGAATAAAAATGTCAATGTAATTATATTAACTCAATATAATTATTAAAATATACAACAGAAGTATCATTCTGTAAAAATAAGAAGTGTGTGAAAAGGTTGCTAAAGAGACACAGCATTATTCTGACATTTCACTTTTGAAGCTTGTTCAAGTCAAGTGAGGATCAATGACAGAGTCTAAGAACAAAGCTGAAGATTCATGTTTCAAGATTTTGGAAAGACACTGTGTTGGATAGCTTTAGTGTCAACTTGACACACCTGGGTTGAGGGAGCCTCAATCGGGGAATTGCCTCTATTGGACTGGCCTGTGGCCATGTCTGAGGGGCATCTTCTTGATGAGTGATGTGGGAGGGCCCAGCCCACTGTGGGTGGTGCCACCCCTGGGCAGGTGGGCCTGTGTTGCATAAGAAAGCAGGCTGAGCAGGAGCCGAGGGAGCTAGCCTGTAAGCAGCGTTCCTCCATGGCCTGTGCTCCAGCTCCTGCCTCCAGGTTCCTGCCCTGAGTTCCTACCTTGGGCTCCCCGATGAACTGCGACCTGGGAGTTGTAAGACAAATAAACCCTTTCCTCCCCAAGTTGGTATTGGTCAGAGTGTTTTGTCACAGCAATGAAGAAACAAACCAGGACAGACACAAAGCAAAACAATCATGAACTGTGTGCAGTAGGTCCATACTTACCCCAGGGGGAGGGGAGGCAAAATAGCATTTTCCTGGGGGACAGTGCCAAGGGAATCACCCTCAGTGGTTTTCAAACTGTGACTCTTGGAATGCAGGGATACTTAGCTCAGTGTTAGAAACTCCTGTATCCTTGGGTTCATCTCAGGAAAAGATGCAGTTGTTTGAACCACACACTTACCTTTACCTTCTCCCCTTGAGAGAGGTTTGGGGAGGTGGTGATGCTGGTGGCAGTAGATTGCCTTCATGCTGACGATCAGCCTAGCCTAATTACTTTCCACCCATCACCACCCTCTGTAATCTATCATATATTGAAACTGGATTTCCCAGACTCCCTTGCCAGCTGACTTTCAACTAGGTTCTACCAATTGGAAGCACTTGCAAGAAATGGAAGGTAGAGGCAACAGCTCTCTCCTGCTTCTGTTTAGTTCTGGGAATATCTTTGATATTGGCACTGATGATGGTTCAGGGGTAAGTAGTGACCTAATAAGTGTCAGTATAGATTTCTATTGAGACAGCTGTGCCCATACTTGTGGACACTTGGTAGTATCTTGATTTGTTTAAAAATAACATCTCAAGAATTTTCAGTTACCTATGTCAAATGAGACTAGCCCTTGACGGTGATATATAAGGTGCCCAAAGCTTGACCAAGTGGAGTCAGTAACAGACGGAGATGTAACGAGAGGATTCTTTCATGAAGAAGCAGAAAGATCCATGGCACGGAAGCGCTCAGGTGGATATGTGCAGAGCCCTGCTGTAGGAAATTCTCACTTATTTTGTTTGTGGACTGTATTGAAGTAGAAATTCTTTCTTCAGTGGTCTCTCAAGATGATAAAATTGGGAGGAAATTCTTGCATAATAAACACAAAGACTTTGGGATTTGAGAGTACTTTCAGATTACAAAGATGCTGATAGGGAGCCAGGTGTGATGGCACACAACTTTAATTCCAGCACGTGGGAGGCTGAGGTAGGAGAATCACAAGGTTGAGGCCAGCTGGATTTTTTAAAAATTTCATCTTATTTATTTATTTTTTTGTGGTGCATACTCAAACTTTATTTATAGTAGAGATATTCAAAAGTTGAACACTTACAAGTTTGAAACATTTAATATCCATACTGTCTTAAAAGTTTCATGCCACTTCATCCGTTGACTTCTCAGATTCTTTTTTTTCTTAGTAAAAACAGATATTTTAACATATATTATGGAACAAACTCTATACTGAATTATTTACATGTATTAATTCATTATACAATCACTCTGAAATAGCAAACTAGATCTAGGACTTGTAGTCTTATCTACAATTCTGTAAAGATTCTGTTGGAGAAGAGAAGTTGGTCATAAAATATTGGTTCCCATATCTTGAGACTACTTCTTTTCTGATAAGATCCTTTGTTTTTTTGTTTTTTTTTTGTTCATGTACTCTTTCTTCTTCTTTGATTTATTTATTTTTAAATGGGGCTTTTGGCTACTCTAACATTCCCCCTCTGAAGAGGTAACCCTAAAATCTTTTAAGAATTAGATAAAAACTCCCAAATACTTTCTACATTTTTGGCCTTTGGAACAGAGTATGTTGCTAAGAGGCCCAAGGACATTGTGAGTTTTAGCCAAGAAAGTGGCTACTTTTCTTTGGGGTCTTTTTTCCCCTAAATGCTTAGCCAGTTCCTACCTCCTATTCTTATCATCCTCTGGAGAGATTACCCAACTTGCAGATAGGGAATCAGGACACAGACCGCTCTGGCTTCTTCCATGCTGAACAGGAATGCAGGGTGAGGCAATTGGAGTGCCCCTTCAGTGGGTCTATCTAAAAGACTCCAAAATTGGATAACTCTTATCTATAGGGGGAAAAGAAAGTCCTTGACTGGTAAATAGAAGATGTGAAGGAGAAGTAAAGGCAAGAGCAACTAGCATTACAAGTTATAGACAGGGAACTAGAAAGAGAACAGGGCAATTTTCAAATGTTCATATGAGAGTTCACTGGGATTTCTTGACAGGGGATTCCAAAAGCATCCCTCTATTGGGTTCCTCCTCATTTTCCTTTTGTCTGCCAAGACAGGACTTTAGAGTGATGGATTCAGGATTTGCTTTCAGGTATTTTGATAGCTGTTGGAGTCATTAGAATCAGTGTCAGTTCCCTCTCAAAGGCTTCCAGATAGGGGGAGAAAACAAATTTATCCATTATTTTAGAACAACAGCGGGTTGTCTCAGCTACAGGTGGGCACTACAGTATTGCAGACCAAGATTTGAAGTCTTACATCTGAGCAGCACTTTCTGGTTAGTAACAAAATCATCAATGAAAGATAACTGTCTAAATAACTTTTTGTTTGTTTGAGAAGTATGATTTTTATAGCTCTATTACACAGTGAAAACTACCATTGATATTTA